TAATCTCGAATGATAAAATGTATCCAGCTCTTGCCAATGAACCCTACTGTCATTAGGCACAGAAATCTGAAAAGATGTAACAAATTGTATCTAAATAGTTTTTAAGCCTTTCTGTTCTGTAGATATCCAGAGAATAGTCCCATTCGCAAGCTTTCAGCGATTGGTCATATGCTTTCAAAGACTCGATCAGCATCCCTCACACATGGGGGAATTTTGGCTCACACTGTGCCAAAAATATAATCCATCGTCTTGCCAACAGATGGAGCACAGAGCAATAATCAATGGGAAATGCCTTTGTGATGTTACTCTCACACAGAGGATCAGATTTACATGGTTTGAGAGACCGCAGCCCCCTTTATTCCTCTTTTACACTGGTTGTCAGTCGGGAGGTGCCCCCTTACATTGTGGGTCATTGGAGAATTGATCTCCCACATTGGTGATCAGTGGTGAAGTTTCTTTTACAGGTGAAACTCAAATAATTAGAATATTGTGCAAAGTTCATTTATTTCACTAATACAACTTAAAAGGTGAAACTAATATATGAGATAGACTCATTACATGCAAAGCAAGATAATTCAAGCCGTGATTTGTCATAATTGTGATGATTATGGCTTACAGCTCATGAAAACCCCAAGAACCCCAAATCCACAACCTCAAAAAAGTAGATTATTACATGCAATCAATAAAACAAGGATTGTACATAGAACAATATCGGACCTCTGAAAAGTATAAGCATGCATATGTACTCAGTACTTGGTTTGGGCCCCTTTTGCAGCACTTACTGCAATTACTTTTGCACGATATTCTAATTATTTGAGTTTCACCTGTATATAAGTGGTCACAGTGACAAGCCAGCACATTGGTGGTCGTGAGACACCCCTCTACATTGGTGGTGAGTGGTGAAATATCCCCTTACATTATCTGTTAGTGGAAGCTAAGTTAAATATAGTAGATCATTGGAGACAGTGGGTTTTGTGGGAAAAAATCTGTTAGGTTTGGTATTAAAAAAATGAGAAAATCCAATATAGATACATTTTATTTACAGAGAGCTCCATGAACCACTCCGAATTTATGAATTTTTGCATACACGTAATAAAATCTGAATTTTTGGCTAGAAAACAACTTAAAACCCCCAAACAATCATATATTTTATGAAAGCAGAGGCCCCATGGAATAAAGAAATGCCAGCTGCAAATGTTTTTGTTGCACGATATTTGCACAAATGTTTATCAAACCAGTATTTTAGGATAAAATACACTAAAATGAATACTGTTTTCAGTGATTGCAGATGAGATTAGCAACTGGAAGTATGCTGTTCTCCCTCCGATTGAGGCGCAGGGACCTGCTGTGTCAGTCCTGGGCCTGTGCGGGGGACAACAGTGCCTGGGATAGCCAGAAACGGCTGTGGTGGGGGGTACACTCCTCTCACATGTTTCACCCGTAGGCTTATTCATAGAGGTAACAAATACAGACCAGATCTACAGCCCAATGTGTCAAACAGGAGAACAATCCCTCTCATAAGTTAGTTAAAGGTAAAACTAAAATTAACATTATCACTCATGTAAATGAATGAATCAAAAATATATGTAAAAAACTGCATCCACAGTTATAAAAAAAAAATGTGTAGGTGCATGTTAAAAACAACATATAAATATGTTTATATTTAATGTTTAAAAGACGATAGATATCCTACATGGCGGCTAAGGAATTGGAGCCGTGAGATTTCCTTTGGCTCGACATTTGAGTATGCTTGATCGGGAAGTCCAGGTATAATCAAACGAGAATTTGTGCCACAGACAGAAATTTTTTAATGCAAATTGTACAATGTATGGCCCCATTAAGGCTACATTCACACTGATGCTATTTGATGCATTTATATGCGTTTAAAATGTTTTCTAAATGCATACAATATATACAGTATATATCTAATGATTACCAATGGATCTATTCACACTTTGTGTTTAGATGCTTTTAACACACTTCAATGTACTGTTTTAATGGACAAAGGACAGATGCATTTAAATGCATGTGTGTGTAAACGTGGATCATTTTAGGCATCTAGGAGCATTACAAAGCATCTAAACCAGTGATGGCGAACCTTGGCACTCCAGCTGTTTTTGGAACTACAAGTCCCATGAGGCATTGCAAGGCTCTGACAGCCACAGACATAACTCCCAGAGGCAGATGCATGTTGGGATATGTAGTTTTGGCACAGCTGGAGTGCCAAGGTTCACCACCACTGATCTAAACTGACATATTTTGCAGACAGGTCTCTGCATAAAAACGCAAGTGTGACTGAAGCCTGCCTAAGAAAGAAGTGTCATTCTGTAAAGTATTATGTTGAACGAGCACATACCGTAATGGAGAAATTTGTTAATAAAGGATACGATAAGAAAGTGATTCATAAAATAGCAGAAACAGATTTATAGATTTACTGCTGGAGTAAATCCAGCAGATTTGAATAGTGAGATGGAACCAGTGGCGTCACAAGGGGGGTGCGGCCCGCACCCGGGTGACACCATTGGAGCGGTGACACCAAAATGACTCAGTCATTTTGGTGTCACCCCCTCTGAAAAGTCGGACGCTCGGTCATGGACCGAACGCCCGACAGTATCAGGAGAGTGGAGGGGACCCGGCGGCATACCTTATCGCGCCGGGTGACTGTCCCCTCCTCTCTCTGCCGGCGTCCGTCACCAAGATGGCCGCCGGCAGGTATCAGAATACTGCCGCGCGTGCGCGATGACGTCACGCGCATGCGCAGTGACGTCTCGGCGGGGTGACACTCAGTTACCGCTCCGGGTGTCACCCAGCCTCGGGACGCCCCTGGATGGAACCCCTTAAGTTTGTAACAGATTTCAGTTCCCATTCTGAACAATTTCAATACAGTCTGAAATGTAGGTTACATGTTGAATGGGTTATAGGTTGAATGGGTTATTGGTTGAATTCAATTGGACTTGTGTCTTTTTTCAACCTAACTATGTAATGCTATATAAATATTGGAATATCATCAAGAAGACTAAAATACTGGATCCAATATTGCCTGATAAACCAAAGGTTGTCTATAGAAAGACCCACCACTTTAAAAATAGGCTGGCTCTGAGTATTTTTAATCCGCCAAAAGAGATAAGGTGGATTTTATGTGTGTGGAGTTTGTTTATCATGCAAAATAAGTAAAGGTAATTGAAGGAGGAAGTTTACATTCATTTCTCATTCCACGGGGTAGCAGTTTACAATACAGTTTTTTTTTTTTATGTGCTACATTTTTCATCACTAATATGTTGTAGCGTCAATGCAGGCTGCAGTACATAGGCCGTAACACTAGAACTCTGGCTAAGAGACTCAAAGAAGGTATGTATAATATAGTGGATGCAGACTTCCTAGTGTGGTGTCATTTTTGTAATAAACATAAACGCTATTCATTGTTACAATTTTGATAAAATAATAAGTTGCAGCGACTCTAACATGAAAAGGGAAAAAAAGGAATGCAATGGATTTTGAAAATGGACACACTAGAACCTAATAGTCTAAAAGGGTAATTAACAAAGCTGCTGAAGGATCCAGCCATAGCTGCGGCTGATCCTTCGCTTTGGTTGCTAGAGCCCTTAGTTTCAGTCGAATTGAAGGGCTGCTGCACGTGCTATTCACTATAGCCTGTACAGCAGCCGAAGGCGGCAGAGCTGCTCTGCTGAGCTGAAGGTATATGCTTTGGCTCGACTGAGCCAAAGTGACAGCTGAAGCTGGGCGAAGCCAGCCATCATCTCATGGCTGGCTCCGGCCAGTTGTAATGACACATCAGCTTCCCCAAAGGACCTGGGGAGCCGGAACTGTCATTAAACAATAACAACTGTTGTTATTCATTGGCCGGGACCTGCTAGAAGACTCTAGCAGGTACTGGCCAATAGGAAACAGTTGGGCGGAGCTAGCTGCCACTGCTGGCTCTGCCCAAATCTTTTTTATCATTATTATTTTTTTTAAATCTTAATTTTTTTATTTGACTATTTATTTTAAATTTTTTTACGTTTTTTCAACTTTTTTTTCCGACTATTTTGTTTGATTTTCTATTCTGCTCGGTACCACGGAGGCACCGAGCAGAATAGCTGAGATGAATGAATTGAGGC